GGGGATGGCGGTGGTCGCGGGCCGTCAGACAAAGGGAGCGGAGCCGCCCAGCCACCTTTCCTTTCCCCGTCCGCATCAGGGGCTTCTCCCTAGTCCGGGTGTTGTTTAGCTTAGCGTAGGTGATTGTGGAGTTGATGGGGATTGAGGTGCAGAGAGGGGGCGAGGCTGCTATTGTCCAGCGACCTGTGGACAGGTTGTTGCCTTTCTTCCAAACCTTTCCCCTCCATTCCTGCAGGTTTAAATGCGTGGATGCTTTGGGTGTGGTGCTGGGGTGGCTGTGTAACCTGTTAATTTAGCTAGTGATGCAGAGTCGAATAGAAAAGAAAGAAAATGTCGGTCCCTGGCCGTTATCTTAATTCCGTGGGTTCTATTTCTGAACAGATTTTTTTCGCACTGTTATAATAGTGTGCTGGCTGCTAGAGAACAGCGCCCAATTAGTTTTAGCTTAAGGCAGCAACACCAAAAGAGCGTTCTGTAGTAATGGGAAAATTTCTAGGTTTTATACACAAGGGGACAGAGCATAATGCTTAATGTTAATCAGTTTGGCATTTTGGTGCTTAAAAACAAGCATACAGCATATGTGTGCTTGCCCAGACTTTTCTGAGGTTTAATCCAATATTCTGAAATAGCATTTTAAATAGGAGTGTATTATGTGCTGTGTTCCATTATCTGGCCTAGGCTTCTTCATTTCCATTAATTTTGCAACTCCTTTGCAGTGTAATAACCAATAAAGCTGCATCTGTCAGTGTTTTCATTAACAACACCTGACAAGTGTGTATGCCAACATAATTTCTTGCCTTGTAAAGCACTTAGTGATGAATGCACTCTGGCTACATTAGGATGACATGCTGTACATGAAACTTCCTGGCAAGAATATATGTGGCTCCCTTTTAACTTGCAACATGCCACCCAAGGTGACAGGGTTGGGATATTTGAAAGGATTTGAGATGGCATGCTTTTTGAGTCCAGTTGAAGCAAAGAATTAGAAATAATGAGTAAATTGAAGCTACTGGTTGCTTAACATTTGTGCTCTCGCTATCCCAAGCATGTTTGTTAAAATTATTTCCAACATTTTAAAAATTATTTGGAAGTCTCAGGTTAAGTCTTAGTATTTGCAGAGAGAGAGAGAGAATTTGGTCTAGTTGTTAAGGCACCAGGCTAGAAACCAGGAGACTGTGAGTTCTAGTACAGCCTTAGGCATGAAAGCCAGCTGGGTGACTTTGGGCCAGTCACTCTCTCTCAGCCCCGATGTCAGGCTCGGGCCACAAGCTGGTTGGTCAATTCCTGTCGCAACGGATCAACTTTTGGTTGATTCAGGGGAAAAAAAAAAGAGCCTACACATGCCGGAAAAACACTAGAATGAAAAAGAAAATTGAGCCTTAGAGGTGCTTGCCAGATGAAATAATTTGCCAAACTGGGGCCCCCCAGATGTGGGCAGTTCTGGAGTTGAAATCAACATATATGGATTTAGTCTGATTTGGCTATCTTATAGAACACCCTGAGCCACAACTGCACTTAATTCTAATGTTGTTTGTGAACTCAGAGGTATAGTTTATGGCTCAATGTGTCTTGTAAACCAAAAGAAAATGTGTTAAGTAAAGTAACCATGAATAAACATGTTGTGTAACATGTCTGAGTGTCTGAGTAGATATTTTTCTAGCCTACTTTGTAATTCTGTGTGATGAAGGAATGTTAACTAATTATTGATCTTGCCTAAGTGGTGAACAGTGTGTTATTTAGTTGTGCTAAAGTTCTGTAATCTTGATGTTAAGAGAGTCTTCCCACTTGTTTGCAGAAATGTCATGGGATTGTTAATGGTGTAATGAGGAGGGAGAGATTTTTGAAATTGTAGCTTTATTGCTGCCAAAAAGTATTGGTTTCCTACAGCATTATGTCTGTAAAGATTTCAAATGAGTGTACAAGATGAGTGTTTCTCTTATATACATTATCTCTTATATACATTATTTTGTGAGAATATTAAAAAACATGTTGGGACCAAAAACTGATCTAATATACAGAGGAGGGCCCAAAACCTGATCTAATGGACTTGAAAAAATTAAATGGATTCTGAGTAATGAAAAATAAAGAACATTAGAAAGAGGATAAAATCTTTTCTATGGAATTCTAAAGAGTACGGAGTGCTTTTTAAATAATTGTTTAAACTGAATGAAAGGATACTGGTTAGTTGCAATAGAACACTAAGTGTTGTCAGAGCCATTGCTTATTTTGGGGTATATGGTAGAATTGCTCTAGTCCTAGGCATTCTTATTTAAAACTGCTGTGTTACTAAAATTGTCTACATAGGAGTGCATTCCATTTCTCTGTGGAAGCTTTACCTCACATTTCCTCAAGCTAGCTAATGTCAGGTTGCAAAAGAGACAAATAAACCAAAGTAGAAAAACTAATAAAGGACATGTTGAAAAATGACAACTGCTAAAATAAACTTCAGAGTGAATTCTTTGTGTACTATACTAAAACATAGTCAATATACAGTGGTATCTCTACTTACGAACACCCCTACTTACGAATTTTTCGAGATACGACCAGCTCTGGCCCCAAAATTTACCTCTACTTACAAACTCACCTCTACTTAT